CTGCTCCTTTTGAGTGACCCCCCCCCCCCCAGGTCATCAGGCTTACCTACTCTCACGTTGGCCGGTGCATGGGAAGCACTCTCAGGTTACTCAAGTGATCCCTACTGTGAGGCACCAACCTTAGGCCCTGCCCTGGGCAGAGCTCAGCCTCTAAGCACTTGTTGGGCAACTTGCTCCTGTTGTCCCTCACGTGGGAGTTGGCCCATGCACTGCCCTTCAGGCTCTCCCAGCAACCCTACTCAGCACACCCCCTGGTACAGACCTTTAGGTCACCCTATGCAATCCTGCTCTGTGCCTACCAGTACCCAGTCCTTCAGGCTGTAACAGCACACCCTGCTCTGGGCAAGCTACACACAACTTGTGTCCCACTCACTGGGGTCACTCTTCCACTGCCTCCTCCCTGGGACCCCTGGGATCTTACGCCCCTGCAGGGGTGCCTGGCTCCACCTCCATCTGTTCCCATTCATAATTACCCACTGAGCAGTGGGGACTGGGGTTATAAGGTGTCCGTACCTGCCTTTCACTGGGGAGGGAACTGGTCTGCCACAGGCAGATTCACCAGGCCATCCTTCCCCAGCAGGGTACAGTTTCAAGTCGTACCCAGGACCCTCCAGCCATCCCCATAGCACCTACCCTTACCTCCAAGATGTTCTGAACAGCAGCTCAGCCAAGTGTTGTTATTCCAGCTGCCAGCAGCAGACTGCTGCCTCAGTCCTGAGAGCCTGAATCTAAAATGGAAGCAGCTCAGCCCCTTCCTCCTATCCCAGGGCTTTCCTCTAGTCATTTGACTGCCTCACTAGGGCTGGCCCACACCTGTAGGCTTCCCTGCTTCCTGCTCTCAAGCTTTAAAGTGGCAGGCACCAAAGGTGCCCAGCCACACTGACATTGTGGATAATTGTTTTATGAACATTTGAACAATGTTTATAGCTTCTGGCTAAGATTTGCTTATTAATCATAGGATTAGAAGACACTTCCAGGGCCATCTGATTCAACGCCCTGCATATAGATTTAGGATTTGCTGTTCTTAAACTATCTTAGATAATGTTTTTCCAGCCTGTCAAAGCCTAATGCTTACCCAGCCTCATACTGAGTATTTCCAGAATAAGAGATGCAACAACTTCCATAGGCTACTTGTTCTATTGTATTACTGTTCTTAGTATTAGGAAACTTTTTTCCTGAGATCTGAATTTACATTTTCTTTAAGTAGGATACGTTAATTTTTCATCACCCAACTTGATGCCTGTAGAAAGGCTTAATTTTTTCAACAGATAAGTGATTGACACTGAAAATCTGTTACCTTTTAAAAGAATGTTCCAATAGATGCCCCAAGTTAGGAATCACTTTTGGAAATTTTAGTTTCTGTATTTAATTATATTAATTTATAATGCATAAAATACTTTTACTTGCATAGAAAATTGCCTTATATTGGTGTCGGTTAGACTTGTACAACGAATTAAGTGCTTGTAGTAGGTTTCAGTGTTACATAATTCTTAATAAACTTTCGCTCTTCATCCTACCCTTCTTTTAATCCAACGTGAATGTTTTTCCTAGTTTTAACCTACTGGAATAGAACAAGTTGTAAATTCATTTTTTTTTATCTGCAACAATAAAGAGTACATACATGTCATCTCTCTAACTCAGAGAGGCTAGGATTTCTTAGGGTGATATCTTTTTTTAGATCAACTGCATAGTTAGGATAGAAATGCAAGACATGTCTTGCATTCAGAAGCTTGTCTAATTCTATTCCAGCTATGCAATTGATCCAATAAAAGATACCACTCTAAGAAATGCTTGCCTCTCGCATAATTTCTAGACCATCACAGCTACAACATCATTCTAATACTGCCATAACTCTAACTATGACTGTTTAAAAATGTCAGCGTTTCTCATTGTTTGTGTTCTTTTAACACGTTTCCCACTTGCTGTAGATTGGATGAGTGTTTTTTTTTTTTTCACAAAATGTGATAAAAGAGATCTTACTGTAAAATCTATAACACTGAAGCAAAGGGAGAGGCGGTTATGTTGTTTGCTGTGGTAACCATTAGCTATTCCCATTGTTTGGCAATGATCACTGGCAAGCTGCAGATGCCTTTGGCCTTCAGACAGGAAGGATTGGCTGTCTGCTGCAACAGGCCTTTGTCCAAGTGGGTGCACCAACACCATTTAGATGCTAATGTGGTGTAAGCTTGCTGTTTTGTACTAGAACTTGACCGAGTCTCTGGTATGTGGCCTGTCTGGCTATATGTTAGCTTCAGCATTAAAAGAGCCTGCCGTGCTGAAGATGGAAGTGATTGCAATTCATCCAGGTCCATCAATAAGATGTTCAGTCTTCTGTTTTACAAATATTTTGAGTTAGATCAAAATAAGTTGTCAGAGGATTTTTCATTAACCCATACTACTTTATCTCCATGCTACCTTAGTAAGTCTGCTACAAATGTTCATGTAAAGGAGAGATTTTGCAGTGTAAAGTAATATATAAAATTGGATGTAATGCTGAAGAATTGCAGCACTTTCTATTCAGATTAGCACATAATTGAAGTGAGTGGGTAGTGATGAGGATTAGAAATAGTAATATATTTTACTATTTCTAACGCAAAGCAGAGATTCTTCTTGTCCTTGTAGGGAAAAAACTGTTTCTATTTTAAATATTCTGTAGTAGACTTGTCAGTTTTACTAGATGGAAAAAAATGTTTTTTTTTAAATTGGAATATATTAAGAACATGTGAAATGTCTTCATGGAAAGGCTGTATACTACTTCAATAGAAACTGCTAATAAATTGATAATTGACAAATTAGAAATAATAGGAATCAATTATTTGAATGTTTAGGTCCAATTATTGTGTGTATCCAGATATTTTCTGTACTTTCCGTGAAAGTGTGTATATAATATACATTATGAAAAGGTATGTTTATATGCCACAGAAAAATGGATTAACAAGATGCCCTGGGATTTAAAGCTCATTCATGTAAGAAAAGGGACTGAACTTAAAATATGGAATAGTCACCTGGGTTTTGTTTTATTTTATTTAAGCTTTCTTAAAAATATTTCTAACACCGGTTACCCAAGTCAAGAGAGAGTGAATTTTGCTATGAAGCATTTTGCTACAGATTTTTCTGCTGGGCTGCATACTCTATACTCTTTTTTTAAAGAAGAAGAAAATGAAGTAATAACTATGTTTGCATTTATTTAACCACCATAAAACTAATGTGTGCCTAAAGCCTTTTAAAGTGTGATGAATATTAGGTTTCTTTAAGTTTTCATTTTGGTAATAAATGAAACACGGTGAAGTGAAAAAGAAGCTCTGAAGCTAATTGGACTCGGCTAGCAATTACTTTAGCAGAAAAAATAGAAAATATGCAAATATCTCTGGAGTACTCTAGGGTTGATCTTTCAGACGATCACTGTCTGCATCTCAGGCCAAAAAGGACATATGATAATTAGATTTTGAAGGACCATGTGCTGTTGCTACAGCGCTAAATATTATAGTACAAGAAAGCAGACTGCCACATGGCATGATTGATTTTTATAGGAGTTTGTGTAAAAATGTTCTCTTTTTATATTGCCTTTTAGGTTACCTAGGGTGAAACAAAATTACAAGCTTGGAAACTCTGGAAAAGCTCAGTATCAGCATTCAAGGTAAAAATGAACATGGTTATATAATCTTTAGGAGTGTCCTTTTTGTTAACATTATGAAAACTTACCGAGGTAGACAACTTTGTAAAGGTCCATTTTGAATTTCAAAGCAACAGTAGAGCTTTTAAAAAAAAGTCTGACTTCTTGTGTGATTGCTTCAGTTGGTATTGGGAATTTTCATGTAACTACCTACCCTTCCTTGTTGCCTCTCTATGAAGCATGGATATAGTTATGGATAAATAAGGTAAACTTTCTGGTTAGATATCCATATTTTTGTTTCAGATGTATTTTTGTATAACAGCATATATGCTTTTATTAAATAATCCTGTTTAATTTTTAAATGATCACAGTTTAAATATTTTGTTTCTAAAATTAATTCCAATACTGTCTTTTCTTTTGGATAAGATGCTGTCCAAAAAGTTTTCAAATGTATTGAAATATAAATGTATAGGTGGAAATAAAGTACTTTTAAAAAAAAAAAAAATTCAGTGCACTTAATTGAAACTTGAATTAACTTGTTTACAATATCTTAAATTGAATTCCTTTGTTTAAAACCTGAGCATGAAATGAAACGAATTTTCCTTATTTGTGTGCACCTTAAAAATGGCATAAGTAGAATGTAATAGAACTATAGCATTTTTCCTGTAGTTGTAGTTCAGAATGACTGACCAATAACAGAAACCTAATGGGGTTTTTAATTTGCATTGTAGTTAAAGATTTTTTTTGTAGTTTGTGTGTGTTAGGCTTTTTATTTAAAATGTTCAATTTCAAGCTGTGTCTTCCTTATTTTTCTTTCAAATCTTGAAATAATTTTTTCAAAACTTGATTTTTTTTATTTTTTTGATTAATCTGATGCTTTCTATTAAACAAAAGACTAGAGAATATCTTCTTTCGGCATAGATGTATAATAGAATGGCTCATCCTGTCCAACGTGACTTGTTTTGAGATCTTTGTAAGCATTCGTGATGCCTTCATATTAACCTTTAATTTACCTTTTTATATTAACAATTTTGACCACAATAATATAGATATTCTTTTGTCTTATTTTTAGCAACTTTATCTTTAAATTCTGTTCTATTTATTAACATTTTTGTTTTTATAGCAGAAACTTGCAAATAATGTCATTGACCTATCAGCTGATAACATGATGTCAAAATGCAGTTCAGAGAACACAAACACAGAGGTCTCAGAAATTAAAACGGTAAGCCCATCCTTTAGTATGAGGAAAAATTGATTGCTATTATGTTAGTTTGTATGAAGACAACTGCTAGCATTTTGTTGAACATCTTTAAATGGCCAGGCCACTCGAAAGACTACTTTTTAGAACCACCATCAAGGGCCAATTTAAAATTACGTAACTGTGTGAGAGAGAGAGAAAGTAATAAAAAGGTAATTTTATTTTTTCCACAAATGCTGACACTCTTGTAAAGCAGTCTAACAAAAGCAAAGATAAATGATCTCAATAAGTTTTGTCATGAAATGTAGACCTTTTACATTTTTTATGAAACGGAATGTGAATGTAAATATTTTCATGAGTTTAGATTTTAATTCAATGAATTTAAACATTTCTGGGGTTGTGGTACTAATGAGTTATGATCAGAAAAGGGATCTACTTCAAAAATAGAATCTAGTCAGTTTTGGTCAAGCTGAAAGACATGCAGGCAAGTCAAAAGCATAAAGTAGGAAAAATAAAATATACCATTAAAACTGAAAGTATTTTTAAGATGGTATTAAAAAATTACGAATTTTTCCCTCAGCTTCATATATCACTGAAGCAGAAGAAAATGCTATCCAAATTAGACTTTGTAAAAGGGAAGAAAAATGTTTAAGCTTTTGGGGTTTTTTTTTAAAGTTTTTCCAGAATAATTTTTCAGATGAGAACAAAGATTTTTTTTAAAGTTTACTTCAAAGTAAATCTGTGTTATTAACTAACCCAATATTCTACTCAGCTGCTGGGTGATGCAGATGTACCCTTTTAGGTCCTGTGACTGATGGGAGCCAAGACTGCTCTAACCTACACAAAGGCTTTGGACAGATGTAATTTCAGCTGCTTTAAATAGGGAGGTGGGGCTGCTACTTGGGAATTAACATGATTTATTGTGATGTAACTTTTACATCTGCATGGTCCTATAGGAATATACATATGCTTAATCTCCCTGTATTTTTAATACTTCATGAAACCGAGTTAAAATTGCTCCAATTTTGGTGCATTTAAACTGCTATAGAAGCATACAGATATAACAAATTATAACACCTTATGGCAGTATCATTTGATATTGCTAGAGTTGTTGCATCTGTGCCCTGCCACCAGCCTCGGAGGCCCAGAACAGTACACATCAGCCATATACTCTTGTCCTTTGAAAAATATTACTTCCCTGGTCCAAATGACACAAAGGGAATTTTATAGCTGTCTCACTGCATTTCCATATTGACAAAAGTCCTGATTATATTAATATAAAAAGTGCTTTTCTCAATACAGTTTATTTCACTTAGGGGAATGGTATTAGATATACAAGCCAAAGCAGTATTTTGCTGGTGAATGTTGCATATAGAAGTAGAAAAAATCACAAGTAGAGCTACCTGGGCAGACATTTTCTAGTGTAGACCTGGCTTTAAGCCTCAATTTTCCTTTGAATGTAGGGTGAGGGACTTTAAGGGTCACTAGTTCCCTGAAACTCTTAGGGTGTCTTTACATGTCCTCCAGGGATGTGGAGAGTGTGCTTTAATTAGAGCAACTGCTGCTTTAATTAATGAGCCCCCAGCATCTCATGTATTCAACATCATGCTTGTTTGACGAGGTTTAGTTAAGTCACTCCTGCCGCCATTTTGAAGTGCAGGGATGCTGGACACATGAGACGCTGAGGTTGCTGGAGTGTGGTAATGATGACAGCACATCGGTGTACATGATGACAGCACATCGGATCGGGCATCCCGCATGTCTACAGGCACCAATAAGTTCCAGAATATTGAGCATTTCAGAAAGTCAGGAAGTTTATCAGGATCTCCAGTTAAGAGGTCTACAGTGGTTATAGAAGAAACTCTTCAGAAGCAGGTCTGTCGCACATGATTTTCAGTATAATCCTGATCTTAAAGTTCTGCTTGAGCAATAAAGGTAGCCTAAGATTGGCTTGTAGTGCTTATTGAGAGAACAGTATTCTGGTTATATTACTGCTGTTTATACAAATGGTAGAATGTACCAGTCCCGGGACATGACAGTTTTTAGTGGAAGAAGATGATTCAAAATAAAATGGATTACTTTGAGAGAAACCATCTTGGGTTTCTGAGTATTTCAGCTATAGTATTTTTTTTGTTTGCACTTAAGTTTTAAGAAAGCAATCCCTTAACTCCTAAGCTGTTCTAAGAGAACTGGAGGAGCAGACAGAAAACAAGGTCCTCCCTCTGAAATGTACTGGTGGATGGCTTAAAAGGGAAGTTTCATACAATTATGTTATAGGAGTTAGAGGTAAGAAGAACCTATTTTAGTTTATCCAGTCCCTTTCCCATAGTCAGTTTATTTGACCCTAGTTCTTTAGTTTAACTTTTCCAGTTACAAATGAAACTCTTGACTTAGCACTTCGAAATCCTCTGTAATTAGAGTTTTTAGCTTTTAATTTTAGATTTGTCCAAAAAATGGTAGGAAGCAAGTGAACCTTTCCCTGCTCCATCTGGTTATTGTTGAGATTTTTCTCCAAGGTTATAGAGATTCTTTCATGCAAGATTTATACTTCTTAAGTAAAAATCCAAGTTTTATCTCCCTAAGGAGGCTGAAATTTCAGTGCTGTTGGAGTATCATACGTAGAGTTCAGTAGTAAATAAAGTAAAAAAAGTACATAATTTGACTCTCTTAAAAATAGGTGAAAATATGTTGCTTTCATTAAATATTCATATTGTGCTAGATGCCTTGTGTGTAGCAGGCCATAAATTGGGCAAAGTAAAAATGATTTTCGTGCCAAAGTGCTTACAGTCTAAGTAAAATACTTTGTAGAAGTAGTACAACATAACTTCTTTCCAAATTTTTGCAGCAGCTGAAGTGGAACACTTCCAGTGAGTATTTCTCATTTCATGGCTTAATGTTTAATTTCATGTGTTGATGCTGAGCGTTCGTTACATTTTTGTCCTTGGTATGCAGCAGAAGGAATATGCCATTATTTTAGCTTTGTCCAGGTTTTATTTGAAATGTTGTAGTTCGTAATTTATTTTTTAAGAGAAACATGGTGTTCTAGAATGCTTTCAAAAGAAATGTATGGTGGGAGTTAGTTAAGCAGAGGTTTTGCTGATGTTTTTGTTTAGGAGAGGGCTCATTTGCTTTTTAAATTGGCCTGCTAGATCCCTTCCTTGAATATTTTCCTCAACATTTGAGAGGCTTATTTAGATAATAAACTAGAAGTTTGGGCAACCAAAGTCTAGTTCTACATTGAGAGAACGTTTTTACATCATTACAATTCCATTAGATAGAAAGGAATTGAATATAGGAATTCTCCTGTATTTTGGGTAAGTGCTGTAATCACCAGCATATTTGCTGAAGGGTGGCTAGTAGCCTTTTCATTACCATAGTCTCTGTCTTCTGAAAGAAAGTATTGATTGATTCTTAGTTCTTGAGAGGAAGCTTATGAGCGCCTGCCTTTTCAGAGGAGTGGCTATTTCTTCCTGCAAGTACCAAAGTAAGGCACATAAGCCCCAGAGCGAATGGGTTTAATGTTGGCTAGCTCTAGGCACAGTGCTGACTTGAGGCAGCTCCCCAGTCAACATGCCAGTTATTCTGGATTCCATTCCTAATCCCACTCGTATTATATAGGGAACTTGGACACCTAAGTAGACTCCATTCCAGAAAAAGTATGGATTGCTGCGCTCAGCTCGGTTTCCAAGTCCCTTTTTGGATCTAGCCGTTTAGCATTATACTGTAGACCTGCATGTAGTGACTAGTATTCGCTTCAGATTCAGATTTGGCTGATTTGGGGGGGACAGTGATTCGATTTGGTGATTCGAATCACTGTCCTGAATCAATTTCAGCTGAATCTGATTTGGAGATTCGGCCACTGCTGAATCGGCCAAATCTTCCAATCAAGCAGGCCCCATCCCCTGCCCAGTCTCCCAGCCCCATCAGTGGCTGCCCCACCTGGCACCAGTATCCCTGCTCTTTTTAAAGCCTGGCACTCACCGGCTACTGCCAGGTGGGCCCTGAGTGCCCCCTACTACCCTGTGCTGCGTGGGGGACTCTGCCATGAGACCCCAGAAGCCCCGACTGCCAGTGCTGCAGCCGATGAATGCAGGGCTTTTTTCTTTTTAAAGAGCTAGGAGATGGGGCCAGGCGGGGCAGCTATTGTTAGGGCTGGGAGACTGGACGGGGGATGGGGGCTTGTGGCAGAGCCCCCTATGCAGCTCTATTATACTGCACTTATGTGTTGAAAGTTATCTCTGATTCCCTTTTGAGGGGTTAACGTTGAAGTCTTTAAAGTTCTTTTAGCGTTATTCTCTCTCTCTCTCTCTGTTTCTGTATACATACACACTTTGTATGTAAAATCTTTATAGGAAATAAGGTACATGTAACTGTAGCCGTAACTAAAAGCTACTGTAGGGATATAATGTAGGGATAATCATGAGAATAGTTTTCTCAAACGGAAACTGCAAGGAAGACCATTTGCGTAGGAGGTAGTAGTTTGAGCAAGGTACTAAAAGTCTGCACATTTTGCGAGAAAAAGCATTGTAGAGTCCTTTAATAACCAGGGATATGGGTTTTCTGTTTCCTGTGGAAAAATAGAGAAAAAGGTGGATTTCTCCTCTTGCTGAAGGAAAATGCAGATTTTTCCTTTTAGTGGAGATACCTGCAGATTTTTGAAGTTTTGCAAAGAGCTCTCTGCAGGCTGGCAGAGTTCCAGCCTGCAAGGGGGCTAGGAGGGAGCAAGAGGAAAATGGTCAGGCAGGGGGCACCATGTGCATGCATATGCACACAGCTCCCAGGCAGTCTGGAAAGCAGCTCCCACAAGTAAGGGGATGGGTGCGGGGGAGAGGATTGAGGCCCCCATAGGGAGGGAGGGATAGAATTGGGCAGGGCTGGGGCTGCTGCCCAGCTGGAGGGTACATGGGGCTTGGGGCTCGGGACTGCATGGGCTGTAGGGCCCGGTGTGGAGCAGGACAGGGCTGCGGACAGCTTGTCCAGGGGGCGAGGGGAATGGGGCTGATTCCCTGCTGCTGTATGCACTT